CGAGATGCTTTAGAAAATAGAAACTATAATCCTATAGTATGTAGATAGAGAAGCTTCTAGAATATTCTTAAGAATTGCAGAAGCTGGAATCAAATTGCTCAAATCCAATTTTACAATTTCTGGAATGACTTCAGTCATTCTTCATGAAAATGAAAGGAGTCAGTCTTTAGAAATCATTTGTAAATATAAGTTAAGTCATTTATTATACGGGATAAAATTGTAATGTTATATATTAAATAAAATAATTATACATTAAATAAAATATAATTTTTTTAAAAATAAAAATTTATTAAGAATAAATTTAATCGGTAACAATTGCAGAAAAAAAAAGTATACGACGCGAGTGCAAAAAAAACACGATCAACTCACGCAATTGTGGAAAAATAATAATTACGCGACGTGAGTGTTACAAAATAAAAATCCTTGCAATTTATAACACACGACAACAAATGTGATTGCAGAGCATTTAAACAAACAAGTATCCCAAAAAAGAGAGAAAAAAATATTAATAAAAAAAAATAATATAAAAAAATCATATACATATTACGAAAGTAAAAGTTGGATAAAATTATCTACAAAGTTAAAGTTGAAGTTTTTTATTAATAAATTGTTGAAGGAAAAACTGTTCCACAACTTTACCTGAAAAACCAGCAGACGAACAGCATCACTTACAGGAACATCATATGCTACATTCTTCACGAATTGGTGGATGTATATTTTTAAAAAAATTTTTGTATTTATATGTTCCAATATTAATAAATATTTTATCTTAACAATACTTAATATTTTCTATATTAAATAATCAATGTTTTGATACACATAATTAAATAATAAAATACTATTAAATATAAAAAATATGCTATTTATAAATGCTTAGAAAAATTAGCAATGAAACAAAAATATTCAACCTAATACAAATAAACTTATTTTAAACAGTTATAAAAAATAAGTAATTGAATTTAGTTAATATATCTATTTTGAATAATTAAGTTATATTAAGTTTATAATTTTATTTATTATGATTTAAGTAATAAAATTTAGTTAATAATAATAATAAAAGCTTAATATACAAAACATAATCAATTATTATATAATATGGTTTTTATGAATATTCTTCATGAAACCATTGCTACTGTATGGCATAGCACAGCTTCACAACCAAACATTAAGAGCATTTACACTAATAACAACTGTGGTTGCGCTACTCCAGTGTTTTCGCATCATATCATAGGCAAACATCATATTTTAGCAAGAAGCCAGTATAAAATTTCAGCAAAAATTAAATTTTAAATAATTTGGAGACTTTTACATTTCACGTACACAAAGCCAGTCATATACTTTAAGAAAAAAAAAGCACACAAACAAAGTGCAAACATCACATTCAAAAATATTGTCTCACCTACCCATGCATACAAAGATATTTAGTAAGTGTGCGATAACAAAGAAGAGTGAAAAAAGTATTTGTCTATCCAGTCCGAACCAAAAAACTTTACTTCGTCTTTAGCTCCCTTCTTACGCATGAACCAGAAGCTATATTGCATTCGCTCTAATATTAGAGTTTTTTCTATATGATTTTGCCTAAGCAAAATATGTTGTGTACGATATTGGTTTGATTGGTGATTACACTAACAAAATATTAGTGCTCATACTTAAAATAATAAGTTCGATTGTTTATACGTTTGAACAGACATGTTTTTCCCATTCCGTGTACCTTTTCAGAAATCATTATTTTTTTAACGGAGGCAAATTACATGTCTTTATATTTACCTGAGCCTAGATAGCAACGACGCTGAGGGGACCAAGCCGGAATTGGAACACGAAATTTTTCTAAGTTTATTAATTTGCCAAAATTAGCCAAATTTAAGCTTTCTCACCAAGCATGAAATATGATTTAGATAGAAAATTCAATTATCTTTCATTTGGTATATACCCCATATCTGTATGTTGCGTAATAGCAGAGATATTCAAAAAATAAAAAAATCAAATTTTTTGAAAAAACTGACTTTTTTACTTAAAAAATTATTAAAAAACAACTACAAACGGGACCGACTTGCACGGATACTCACCTGAAAAGCAATAAAATAAGCTTTCTAATAAAGTAAAAATCAAAAAAATCTTATGCGCAGATTTTGTGCAAAATCGCATTAAAGTTCGATGTCGAAACCGCTTAAATATCATCCGAATCAAAAAACTAAATATGCAAAATGTTCAAAAATACATCACAAAATACAATTTTAAAACCTCAATTAGATATTTTAATTTTATCATAAAAAATTGTTAAAAAATAGCATTTTTTTTTAGCTTACTTTACTGTAATCATTATATCTTCTCGTGCAAAAAGGGGGCCGAAACAAAATTAATTTTTCTTTAAAGACAATAAAATTTACTTTCCAAAAAACTTAAAATCATAAAAATCGTATGCACAGTTTTTTCTCTATTATTTTTCAAAAATTGTCAATTTTTTACCAAAAATTCAATTATTTGAAAAAAACCTCCACCCTCACAGCGCCAAATGCGGAGCATACTCAAGGCAGGCATGCCAGCGCCATCTAAGTTTCAAGTATAAATATGATGTTTGTATTTTTTTACGCAAGTATTGCGAATAAATAAATTTATAAAAATTTGAATAGAAAAAGCGACTTTCTTATATAAAAAGATTAATTTATAAAAAACTACAATGAAGATCCAAATGCACGCTAAAACCTTTAAAGGCAATAAAACTCACTTTCAATTGCAACATAAATCAAAAGGATTGATTTTGTCTTCACCCCAGGATATTTAATCAAATATGAAAATTATTATTTCTTTTTAAACACATGTTTTTAAAAAAGTAAAGATGACAAATGTTAAGATATACATTATAATGCATAATTGTAAAATATCAACAAAATATTTCAATTATATCATAGAAATTTCATTAAAAATAAAGAATTTTTTTTATAGTATGCATTTATATATAGAAATAAATGTTCATGCACGAACGGGACCAAAATCATCTATACATTTTTATAAAGATGAAGAAATTTCCTTTTCAAAAAGCTCAAAATCGTAAAAATCTAATGCACAGTTTTTTTATAATCATTTTTTAAAAATTTCTCTATTTTTTACCAAAAATTCAATTTTTTTATATAAATAAATTGTGTCACAGCGCTAAGGTCGGAGTATATAGGAGGCACAGAAGGAAAAGCGCTATCTGTATTATAAGATAGAATGTTATGTTTGTATGTTTAATGCATTTGTTGCGAATAAATGCATTAATGTGAATTTGAATAGAAAAAGCGACTTTCTTATATAAAAAGATTAATTTATAAAAAACTATAATGAAGATCCAAATGCACGCTAAAACCTTTAAAGGCAATAAAACTCACTTTCAATTGCAACATAAATCAAAAGGATTGATTTTGTCTTCACCCCAGGATATTTAATCAAATATGAAAATTATTATTTCTTTTTAAACACATGTTTTTAAAAAAGTAAAGATGACAAATGTTAAGATATACATTATAATGCATAATTGTAAAATATCAACAAAATATTTCAATTATATCATAGAAATTTCATTAAAAATAAAGAATTTTTTTTATAGTATGCATTTATATATCTCAATAAATTTTCATGCACGAACGGCACCAAAATCATCTATACATTTTTATAAAGATGAAGAAATTTTCTTTTCAAAAAGCTCAAAATCGTAAAAATCTAATGCACAGTTTTTTTATAATCATTTTTTAAAAATTTCTCTATTTTTTACCAAAAATTCAATTTTTTTATATAAATAAATTGTGTCACAGCGCTAAGGCCGGAGTATATAGGAGGCAGAAGGAAAAGCGCTATCTGTATTATAAGATAGAATGTTGTGTTTGTATGTTTAATGCATTTGTTGCGAATAAATGCATTAATGTGAATTTGAATAGAAAAAGCGACTTTCTTATATAAAAAGATTAATTTATAAAAAACTACAATGAAGATCCAAATGCACGCTAAAACCTTTAAAGGCAATAAAACTCACTTTCAATTGCAACATAAATCAAAAAGATTGATTTTGTCTTCACCCCAGGATATTTAATCAAATATGAAAATTATTATTTCTTTTTAAACACATGTTTTTAAAAAAGTAAAGATGACAAATGTTAAGATATACATTATAATGCATAATTGTAAAATATCAACAAAATATTTTAATTATATCATAGAAATTTCATTAAAAATAAACAATTTTTTTTATAGTATGCATTTATATATAGAAATAAGTTTTCATGCACGAACGGGACCAAAATCACCTATACATTTTTATAAAGATGAAGAAATTTTCTTTTCAAAAAGCTCAAAATCGTAAAAACCTAATGCACAGTTTTTTTATAATCATTTTTTAAAAATTTCTCTATTTTTTACCAATCAGCATTGGCGCGAAAAAAAATCACTCCGTAACTTTCAGTGTTTTCTAAGCGAAAAACTTAAAAAGTGATATTAAACTCATCACAAAAAATCGAAACAGTGACTCTTAAACAATATTAATAAAAAATAATAGTGCCAGATAAAATAATATATTATTATATTTATTTCTTTTTGCGAAAAAAGTGAATTTTGACTTTGTTTCCGAATTTGTTCATTTTTTTCAAAACTCACACACACTTGAAAATAGCTGATAGAGACAGCAAACAAAGCTTTAAAGCTCAAAAACAAATTTACAAGAAAGTGTTGCAAACGGGTAGAATAACTAAACAAATTACAAATCGCAAATTTGAAAAATTGTGTAATTGTGTAATTAAATAACAAACTTTTGCTAAATAAATAAAATAAATAAATACGCGAAAGGACACCTCAGAAATTTATTGTTTGATAAATTCTTAAGTAAAATTGAAATTTATATTTTATTATATTATAAATTTATATTGTACTTATATTAATAATATATATATATATTTTTTCTTAATACATACTACATTTTTCATGCCATTTAAAACAGAACTTTAAAAATTTTTATAATTAAATAATTAAAGAGTAGAAGCTTCTATTTCACAACAAATTACTCAGAGACAGTTGGGTGCTCAGCTAACTCCCGCGATACCAACCACGATATGCCAATTAATAGATCACCGCCTTCGCATAGCGGAGGCACAAACCACTCACCCATATGCTACCCAACAGCAGATGGTTGTTCTGAGAAGCCAACCACGAACCAAACAGCAATGCTAAACAACCAATCCCAAAGGCAACGCTCATACTCGGTAAGTGAAACTTCTTGCAAAAAATCAAGCTGCCAACCGCAAAGTCCAGTAACATCTTCGAAAAATAACACAGCATCAGCGCAACAAAATAATGCAGCGCAACATGCCAAATATATTGCAAAAGAATAGTAACATGGCAAAAAATCCTGATTCACCCAAAGTCCGTGGCATGAATAAATATATTCAAATCATAAAAAGAAAACGTAGCCCGAAACAAAAAAATGCTAGCAATGCATTCTCGACAAAAACTCCAAAAATAGAAAATATTTCAACAGCGAATCGTTTTGTCGTTCTAGCCGAAGATGATAAAAATACCAGACCCGCCCCTACCCAGAAACCGCCACCCATATTTCTGCGTGAAAAAAACTCAAACGCTCTTATATACTCCCTAACACAAAGTATTGGCAAAGATTCTATGCATGTTGTGCCTCTTCGTAAAGAAAATGTCGATGAAACAAAAATTTCGATCAACGAAGAAAAACATTACAGAAAAGTTGTAAACAACTTCGAAAAAAATGGTAAAAATTTTTACATATATCAATTAAAAAGTGCCAAAAGTTTAACAGTGGTTATAAGAGGAATATAACCAGATTTGAACACAGCAGCAATTAAAGAAGCATTTGCAGAAAAAGGATTTAAAACAAAATCTGTATACAACATTAAAAACCGCGATAGAGTTTTTAATTGTGAAGGCTGGTTGCCTTCACCGCTAATTATAAGGGATGTGTAGTACACACTACCGAAAAACAAAGAATGTTTCCAGCATTGCGTCCCCGCTCTCAGTCAGTAATCACACCACAACCTATTCAAACGCGATCTCAGCCAAATGCTCCATCTGACTCCAACAATACGTGTACACGAATTTCATATGTAAACGCTGTTAGAGACGCTGTTCACTGGCCCAAGCAACGTTCAAAATGAAAGCTCTACTAAACCATCTTCAAATATTGAAAACATGATCCAACTGTTTATGGAAAATATGACACAATTTATCCAACTGTTTATGGAAAATATGACACAATTTATGGGAATGATTCAAAATCAAAATATTCTGGAATGCTAACGGTTTAGGCCAACATAAAAATGAACTTTTATTGTTTTTACAATCACATCAAATTGACGTCATGTTTATCTCAGAAACCCATTTTAACGAGAAAAGCTACTTTAAGATACCTGGTTACATACTCTACGATTCGATATATGTCTAGAAGAGTACATAAAAGGTCTGACTATAACCTCAATTTATTGTCCACCTATTGTCCACTTCAATGCCAAACATACATTCTGGGGCACAAGACTTATATCACCAAAAGGAAAATCCCTGATGAACGTGATATCAAAACTCGACCTTAACATATCCTACACTGGCAGACCAACATGCTGGCCATCAGATCAGAAAAAAACTCCAGACGTCATTGATTTTGCGGTAACAAAGAACTTATAAAAAAATCAAATTGCTACCGAGGCATCTTTAGAACTCTCCTCTGATAACACGCCGACTTTTATTCTGATTAGAAACACAACAATAGTCAATCCAAAAGCTCACAAACCAGCACAGAAATTGGCTAAAATTTAAAAAATATATTAGCTCACATATTAACACCGACACTGCCCTAAAATCAAATATTGAAATTGACAAGGCCGTCCAGGACTTCACAGCTTTACTTCAACAAGCCGCTCGAATATCAATCCCACTCCCAATACCCCACAAACCCATAAACTACCATACATCGAACGAAATTGCAACCCTTATATAGGAGAAACGACAAGTAAGACGCCAATGACAACAACAAGGATCCCCCCGAATTAAAAAAGAACTCAAGAATCTGACGAAAGCACTTCAGAGATTACTCAAAGAAAAAAATCGCATAGAATACGCAAATTTTATTTCACAGTTATCTCCAACGCAAACAACAAACTACTCCCTTTGGAAAGCCACTAAACTCAAGAAAAAGTCCGTTATTCACAGAGCACCCCTTCGACTCACAGATGGAAACTGGGCTAAAAGCGATGAGGAAAAGGGTGCTGCTTTTGCAAATCACCTTAAATATGTATTTACCCCAATCTCTACTTTAACAAAACTTGACTCTCTGCCTTACTCCACACGAAACGACAATATGACAATTTGCTTCAGTAAAAAACCACTAAAAAGCGAAATCAAAAATTTAAATACCAAAAAAGCTCCAGGCTACGACCTAATTACAGCGAAAATGCTGAAAGAGATCCCACAAATCGCCAAAGACCAACTACTTTTTATTTATAACGCTATTTTAAGGACTGCATATTTTCCAAACGACTGGAAGCTATCCAAAATCATGATGATACCCAAACCCGGAAAGGATCCCGCTCAAGTCACCTCATATCGACTCATAAGTCTACTTCCAATTTGTTGTGTATGCCTGTGTGAGTAGGAGGTGATAGGCTAACATGAGTAAGAAAATTAAAAACATGATATTACCTCGCATGTCCCACGTTGTCCAGGCAGTCTCAGTGCAGCACCTGCTTGTCTCACGGTGGTTCCTTTGGTAAAGTGAGCATGCACTTCCTTGTCCAATTTCGCGGCAGTAATATTTTGACACACCGTCTACTCATTTTTTTTATTTATTTTTATTTTTATTTTTTTTTTATAAATTAAAATTAGCCTGTGCATTGCACGCACAGCGAAATGTCAAAATTTGCAAGAAAGAAAAAAAGAAAAAAAAGCTTTTGTACATTTTTTTTGTTTTCTTTTGTTTTGATCAAGAGTCGCGGCGAAAAGTTTGGCCAAATTGGAAGTTGAAATGATCAATGCTGCCAGAGCAATGTGTAATGCAAGTATTGAAATAAGATAAAAAGAAAAAAAAAGTGTTCGGAAGGTGGAAAGAAAAATAACATTAACTGGAGGTTCAAGGAACGACCCCGAAAAGTGTACGGGATGAGTGTCCAACGGATTAAATTACGGGAGGAGAATGATATAAGATAGAGATATTGGTTGCAGTTTTTTTTTGGGAGGAAGTCTTTGGAAGAAGACGGTTGATGTCCGCGAGCGACTTGAAAAATTTTTAGACGATATATTGAAATATATTAGTAAAAAGTGAATATTTAAAAATTAATTATTATTAATACAAAAATAATTAAAGTGAACATTTAAAAATTAATTATTATTAATACAAAAATAATTAAAGTGAACATTTAAAAATTAATTATTATTAATACAAAAATAATTAAAGTGAACATTTAAAATTAACTATTATTAATACAAAAATAATTAAAGTGAACATTTAAAAATTAATTATTATTAATACAAAAATAATTAAAGTGAATAAAAAAAAAAATATTTTTACAAATCGGAGGTTTAAATGATCAAAACTTTGAATAAATTGATGATCGAAAAAATTCAAATAAATATAACATATCGGTGAAACTTGGATTTAACAACCTAACAAGCCGTATTATATGTGTAATAAATCAAGTCCAATAAGGATTGATAAACATATGGAATTAGCCCTAGGACTCACTGCAAGTACATCTAACAGCAACTGGTACGGTAAGCTACCCTTACAGTTGTAGAATAGCAACGGAGAATACTAAGACCGCACGGAAGTGCTACAGGATATGATTTTTTTACGTTAATGCTTATGATTAAATTAATTAAATTCATTAAATTCATTTAAGCAATAAATTATATTATGCTTACTCAGTTGTTCAATTACCTATGACTTATTGCCGTCTATAATGTCTTACAATTTTTTTTAAATATTCAATCTCATATTTTTTTTGTTTCTAAATTAAAAATTTTTTTTTTCTCCAACTTATTTTAATAATTTGAATTTTTTTATATATACATTAAGTTTTTTTTTATTAATTTTCTTGAATTAATTAGTTCTATTTATGAAATTATTAGTAGAAATAATATTCATTGTTAATTTATTTTGGATATGATATTAGTCACGCAAGATTAGAATATATACATTTTTTTTTATTTTAAATGATGTACATATATTATAAGTGATCAAGCACATCAGGTGTCTTTGTTTTGTTGTTTTTTTCTTTGATTATCCACAATTTGTTTTTTTAATTTTTTTGTAGCTATTTAGGTCAGCAACGCGGAGTGACGTCACTGCTACGATGTTGGTAAGAGTAATCAAAGTAATTAAAATATTGGTAGTCTAAATGTAAAAGAAAAAAAAAAAAAAAAAGGAAAAAAAAAACAAAACAACAAGTTGATGTATAGAAAGCTATTTTTTTATTCTCGTTATATTTATCTATTTTCTTATTATAAATATATTATGGATATACATATAGTTGTGCATTAAATAGTAAGAGTAGATTGTAAGTTTTTTATTATGAATACATTATGTATATATATATATATATTCTTTTGTATTTTTTTTTATTTGAAGAGAATTTTGCTTAGTTTAGTTTAGTCGAATTTTTTTTGTATTATTATATAATAAAATAATAAACCATAAAAAGAAAAAAAGAAACAAAATTAAAAATAATTCCATTCATAAGATTTTCTTTTTTTTTGTGTAACAAACTAAATGTGTAAATGATGTAAATTCAAACAAAATGATGGCTTAAGTTCAATAGATATAGGTGACAGGTGAAAGTGAAGAAGGGGGCAATGTTAGGTTGCAGTAAAATAAAAATGAGTTAGACAGGACAGGGACGAACATGAAAATAGGGAGCTGGAGAGAATTTAACAGGGCCTGTTACTTCAGCTCAACGGTAACTACGGTAATGTAGTGAGGGTGGGTAGGTCTAAACCGACCAACAAGGACAGGGACAATACGAAGAAGAAAAAAAAAAGAAAAAAAAAAACTGGTAGACACAGGGTATTAATATTATATAAAATTACTATCATTGATTGTAAATTTTTTTTTTTTTTTTTTTGAACCAAATTCTCTGGCACGATTTTTCTTTATTTTTTTGTTACGGTTCGGATGTGCTATAGCGGAGTAAAGAATCCAACCCTTTTCTGACGAGCTAGCTGGCCTTGCCACCGTGCCAGACACTAACTCTGCACACATGAATGTAAAGGATGTTGAACGTAACAAAATGGCGCCAAACGAACGGAACTAACGAAAGAACAGAACGTAATACGAACGACTGACCATCGACAGGACACGAATGACGGATTGACAGAA